ATATATATATATATATATATATATATATATGACAGTGTCAGACCACAAAGGAAAATTGAAACCAGGAATTTCCTTTAGTACTTTCGTATATTAATACATCTTCAGAAGGAGTAAAGGAGATGTATTAATATACGAAAGTACTTAAGGAAATTCTTGTTTCAATTTTACTCCGTGGTATGACACTGTCACATTTTTAGTCACATGTTTATTTTTCGTGATTTGCACACACACACACACACACACACACACACACACACACACACACACACACACACACACACACACACACACACACACACACACACACACACACACACACAGCATGGCCCCAGCATGGAGCCCGTACCTTGTCAAGCACAAGACGAAGCTGGAAAAAGTCCAAAGGTATGCTACTAGACTAGTCCCAGAACTAAGAGGCATGAGTTATGAGGAAAGGCTGCGGGAAATGCACCTTACGACACTAGAAGACAGAAGAGTAAGGGGGGACATGATCACAACCTACAAAATCCTCAGGGGAATCGACCGGGTAAACGAGGATGAACTATTCAACACTGGTGGGACGCGAACAAGAGGACACAGGTGGAAACTGAGTACCCAAATGAGCCACAGAGACGTTAGAAAGAACTTTTTCAGTGTCAGAGTAGTTAGTAAATGGAATGCATTAAAAAGTGATGTGGTGGAGGCTGACTCCATACACAGTTTCAAATGTAGATATGATAGAGCCCAATAGGCTCAGGAATCTGTACACCAGTTGATTGACGGTTGAGAGGCGGGACCAAAGAGCCAGAGCTCAACCCCCGCAAGCACAATTAGGTGAGTACAATTAGGCAATTAGGTGAGTACACACACACACACACACACACACACACACACACACACACACACACAAAGAATGCCCAAAAGAATGAGGTGATTTGATATGAATGAGGAGTTTTCGGTTGCATATAGTATTGGGGACCATTCAGGATTGTTCGCATTTGTGTTCCTCACGTGTGCCGCAAAGAATGAGGTGATGTGATTAAATGCTATGCCCAAGATTACCATCTGGGTGCCGGCGGGGAAGTGGTTCAAATAGCTTCGGCTATCACTTCCTTTTTGTCCGGTCGTGATGGTCAAGCGGATTAAGGCGTCCTGACATACCAGTTGTGTTGGTCCTGGCAGTATGGGTTCGAGTCACTTCTGGGGTGTGAGTTTTCATTTGCAGATAGTCCTGGGGACCATTCAGGCTTGTTCGCATTTGTGTTCCTCACGTGTGCCCCAAAGAATGAGGTGATTTGATAAAATGCTACGCCAAAGATTACCATCCGAGTGCCGGCGAGAAAGTGCTTCAAATAGCTTCAGCTATCACTTCCTTTTTGTCCGGTCATGATAGTCAAGCAGATTAAGGCGTCCTGTACATACTAGTTGCGTTCCTCCTGGCAGTATGGGTTCGAGTCACTTCTGGTGTGTGAGTTTTCAATACATATAGTCCTGGGGATCTTTCAGGCTTATTCGCATTTGTGTTCCTCACGTGTGCCTCAAAGAATGAGGTGATTTGATAAAATGCTATGCCCAAGATTACCATCCGAGTGCCGGCGAGGAAGTGGTTCAAATAGCTTCGGCTATCACTTCCTTTTTGTCTGGTCGTGATCGTCAAGCAGATTAAAGCGTCTTGTACATACCAGTTGCATATGGGTATATATATATATATATATATATATATATATATATATATATATATATATGTCGTACCTAGTAGCCAGAACTCACTTCTCAGCCTACTATTCAAGGCCCGATTTGCCTAATAAGCCAAGTTTTCCTGAATTAATATATTTACTATAATTTTTTTCTTATGAAATGATAAAGCAACCCTTTTCTCTATGTATGAGGTCAATTTTTTTTATTGGAGTTAAAATTAACGTAGATATATGACCGAACCTAACCAACCCTACCTAACCTAACCTAACCTATATTTATAGGTAAGGTTAGGTTAGGTAGCCAAAAAAAGCTAGGTTAGGTTAGGTTAGGTAGGTTAGGTAGACGAAAAAACATTAATTCATGAAAACTTGGCTTATTAGGCAAATCGGGCCTTGAATAGTAGGCTGAGAAGTGCGTTCTGGCTATTAGGTACGACATATATATATATATATATATATATATATATATATATATGTCGTACCTAGTAGCCAGAACGCTCTTCTCGGCCTACTACTCAAGGCCCAATTTGCCTAATAACTCAAGTTTTCCTGAATTAATATATTTTCTCTATTTTTTTTCTTATGAAATGATAAAGCTACCCATTTCATTATGTATGAGGTCAATTTTTTTTTATTAGAGTTAAAATTAACGTAGATATATGACGGAACCTAACCAACCCTACCTAACCTATCTTTATAGGTTAGGTTAGCTAGCGGAAAAAGTTAGGTTAGGTTAGGTTAGGTAGGTTAGGTTGCCGAAAAACAATTAATTCATGAAAACTCGGCTGATTAGGCAAATCAGGCCTTGCATAGTAGGCTGAGAAGTGCGTTCTGGCTACTAGGTACGACATATATATATGTTGTACCTAGTAGCCAGAACGCACTTCTCAGCCTACTATGCAAGGCCCGATTTGCCTAATAAGCCAAGTTTTCCAAAATTAATTTATTTTCTCTAAATTTTTTCTTATGAAATGATAAAGCTACCCATTTCATTATGTATGAGGTCAATTTTTTTTTATTGGAATTAAAATTAACATTGATATATGACCGAACCTAACCAACCCTACCTAACCTAACCTAACCTATCTTCATAGGTTAGGTTCGGTTAGGCAGCCGAAAAAAGTTAGGTTAGGTTAGGTAGTCGAAAGACAATTAATTCATGAAAACTTGGCTTATTAGGCAAATTGGGCCTTGCATAGTAGGCTGAGAAGTGCGTTCTGGCTAATAGGTACGACATATATATATATATATATATATATATATATATATATATATATATATATATATATATATATATATATATATATAATGGTCCCCAGGACTATATGTGAATGAAAACTCACACCCCAGGAGTGACTCGAACCCATACTCCCAGGAGCAACGCAACTGGTAACTACAGGGCGCCTTAATCCACTTGACCATCACGGCCGTCAAAGGAAGTGATAGCCAAGGCTATTTGAGCCACTTCCCCGACGGCAATTCGGATAGTAATCTTGGGCATAGCATTTCACCAAATCACCTCATTCTTTGGGGCACATTTGTGTTCCTCACGTGTGTCCCAAAGAATGAGGTGATTTGGTGAAATGCTATGCCCAAGATTACTATCCGAGTTGCCGTCGGGGAAGTGGCTCAAATAGCCTTGGCTATCACTTCCTTTGATGGCCGTGATGGTCAAGTGGATTAAGGAGCCCTGTAGTTACCAGTTGCGTTGCTCCTGGGAATATGGGTTCGAGTCACTTCTGGGGTGTGAGTTTTCATTCATATATATATATATATATATATATATATATATATATATATATATATATATATATATATATATATATATATATATATATATATATATATATATATATATATCACATGAATTTATAAGTGAACTCAGGATTAGGCCGTTCCGGGTCTCCCTATCAACAGCGCTGTTACTCTCATCACTGCTCCATCGATCGTATCGATCGTATAGTGGTCAAAATACCCAACCCGTCCTCATAAACAAAGGCCAAATTACCTTCCATTCTTCCGCCAAACCACCATTTATGAATGAAAAACTGTTTACACACGACTCCCAACTGATGACTTCCGAACACTTCCAGAACAAGGAAGCGGAATTATGAGGGGAAAGCGCTAAGCAATTACGACTATATAACACTTGGAAGGGGTCAGGATAAGGATTTGGGACGAGACGGAGGGCAAGAAATGCTGTCCAACCACTTGGATTGAACGTCATCTGCACGAAGCGAGACCTTCGCTCTACCGTCCAGCCTAAGTAGTTGGGGGACTTAATAAGAGCTTCGCTGACAACATTTGTTTGAACCACATCGCAATAAATGCTTCACTCATGTCCTTCAAATACAAATAATCGTCAACTGAGCTTCAACACCTAACCTAACCAATTCCTTAATATACACGGTATACTAATATACCGTGTCAATTTATATTTGGGAAAATTCCTATTTTGAATGAACAGCATGTTAAAATAGATGAATTTTAAATGTTTTGCATAGAAAATGATTACCAACAGACTTTATAAACCTAATTTGAACAAATATTGAAATTGATGAATGCTTCTATGGGAATGACCTTGACAGACCGGCGAGCATTGTTTGAGAACTGTTTGAAGTCATGTATAAAGAAGTTTTCATATATAAACACGGAGTTTGGCTGCAGGGTTAATGAATATTTGGTCATTGTTTATGAGGCCTGTCTGTTGTTTAGAAAAGAGGTGCAGTGTGATACTCATGTGTGTGTATTGACTTGTACTGCTGCTCTTGGGATATATTTACTGGACAACAACGTATGCTAGCTGCCCTAGTTGACCTAAATATGTTAAACATGTAGTATTGTGTATTGTGAACTTTGATTACCGTTGATTGTAGCTTTCATAAATGGATTATTCTTCCTGATTTAAAAACGATATCCAAATGACAAAACATAGAATATTCAGTTGCCCGTTTCTATAGCTGAAATAAAATTTCCCTTTCACAACTCTAAGGTTATTAATTGATTGGAAAATTTTAGGATATTATATACCTTACTGTGTATTATCACTAGCAATAATGTCTATTTAAGATGTATATGCAATGGTACACTGTTACTGCCTTCGGCCCAAGTAATGAGGTGAGTAGTTCTGTATGTGAGAATATATTACAACAGCCTGTTGCCTGTATAATGACGAGTGCATGCGAGTGTGTTACTGTATAGCCTTTTGCATGTACCATGAAGTGCATTCTTGTGTGTATACGAATTCACCGATTCCCTAACTCGACATGGACAATGTTATTTCAGATAGTGATCATTCCATATTTTCAATTTTTCACAGCTCGACTGGAATAAAAGGAGTTCTAGGACAAATCAGCAATAACACTAAAAGCACATATACATCCAAGGCTCTCCCAATCTACTCCTTGTTGCTGGCACTCAACGTGACACAAATTGATTTCTTCTCCCTCGACGTTGAAGGATTTGAGTTGAAGGTGAGGTTAACATAGGCATAATGAAACTGTAACATACACAAATATTGCCTTAGTTGGTCACAAAACTTTTGTATTTAGAAGTATATTGCGATAAACAATAAATTATCATTATCATAATAAAACTATTATATTATAATTATTAAAGTAAAGTATGAGAGTAATTGAAAATGATGAGTCACAATAACGGGTAAAAATATGATGACCAAACCGCACATCAGAAGATGAAGAAACGACGACGTTTCAGTCCGTCCTGGATCATTATCAAGTCATTTATTAGGGAGTGGGGATTGATTGACTCATGAAAATTAAACCTTCCAAGAGGTGGAACAGGCATTAAGCCCGTAAGTGATAGATTTTTTGGAGTAAATGTGATCTTTAGTCGTGTAAGGATATACCGTGTGCTGAGCTCGCCATTAAATCGCCAATCCTTTTTAAGTGGCTGCTATCGCGGGGAAGAATACTGCTTTACAGTATTTATGAGGGTGTCCAGCTGATGGACACCTTTTATGACCAGAAGATTGGCAGTGTTGATGGCTTCAGGGTGGTTACTGCAAGATTCAGAGACTTTTAAAGCTCTTCTAAGATCGTTGGATGCTTCACATAACAGGATATAGTGAAGTAGTGGCTTTTCTGTGATTGTTTGGCAAAAGATGCATTCCCACTCTCTGAGTTCACTAATTTCTCAGCAGCATCTGTAACCTAGACGTAGTCTAACTTGGTGGCTTGAAGATACCTTCTGCTATTCTCATATGTCGATGCTCTTTTTTCAGATGTGCAAGTTTGTTGGTGATGGTGTTTTTTATGTACTCTAGGCTGGGGTAGATTATTTTGTGGATCACTAGATGACGGTTATCAATTTAGCAGTTTCATCAGCTTTCTCGTCTAATAGGATTCCAGTATGGGATGGGATTCAGTTTAGGGTTATGTGTAGTCGTTTGCCTTTAGCTACTTCTCCAAGATACAAAATTGTGGTAATTATTTCCACTTTGCTTTCCACTGATTCTTCCGTTCTATTACACAAACTCTAATTCTAGCCATTCAACTCTTCCTCGTTCCCTCAAGGTTTCCTCAAGTACGGTACCAGACTCAGTCGTACTCGTTGCCCTACCTCTCCTGGAGTGCTAATAAGCATCTCTTCGCACATACTATCTCTTCTCACTTTTCGACCATCACTCCTCTTCACTGTTTCTCCTTCACGTTTCTCGTGAAATATGACCACTTCTGATATCTCACAACTCAACTTCCTCTTTCCTAAACTTCTGTTCATGTGGATAATTCTTCACTCTACTCTTGTACTCAATCTGTCCACATTATTTTTCACACCTGTTCAACATGGTTACTTCCACTTCCTGGTTCTCCTCAAACAGGTTTATCGGAGGTTTCACTTCCTCCAGTACCTTTTATGCACCTTACATACTTCCCAAGGGGGTTCCACCTCTATTTTCTCCTCTAACTTACTCCTATTCTTCACGTTAACATAAGCTCCTCGAGTTCTCTAACCCTTATTCAACCAGATACTCAAACGTCAGTACACTGTCGTCGCTCAGTAGTACCGGGGCCTCGAAACCGATATCCCTTATGTCGGAGTCGTTCAAAGTGAAGACAAGGTCAAGTTTCGCTGGTTCATCGTTTCCTCTCATTCTTCTGGGTTCCCTGACATACTGGCTTCAGAAGTTTGTGTGTGTGTACTCACCTATTTGTACTCACCTATTTGTGTCTGCAGGATCGAGCATTGACTCTTGGATCCCACCTTTCGTGCATCGGTTTTTACAGCAATAACTATAGTCCTATTTCCCTATCATACCTAGTTTTAAAATTATGAATAGTATTTGCTTCCACAACCTGTTCCTTAAGTGCATTCCATTTTCCCTCTAATCTCACACTAAAAGAAAACTTCCTAACATCCCTGTGACTCATCTGAGTTTCCAGCTTCCACCTATGTCCACTCATTCTGTTGCTATTCCGTGTGAACATTTCGTCTATGTCCCCTCTGTCAATCACCCTGAGTATTTTATAAGTTCCTATCATGTCCCCCTCTCTCCCTTCTTCTTTCTAGTGTCGTAAGGCACAGTTCCCTCAGGCACTCCTCATACCCCATCTCTCGTACCTCTGGGACGAGTCTCATTGCAAACCTCTGAACCTTTTCCTGTTTCCTTATATGCTTCTTCAGATGAGGACTCCTTGATGAGGCGGCATATTCTAAGACTGGCCTCACACAGGCAGTGTAAAGCGCCCTAAATGACTCCTTACTTAGGTTTCTGAATGAAGTTTTAACTTTTGCCAGTGTAGAGTACGCTGCTGTCGTTATCCTATTTATATGTGCTTCAGGAGATAGATCAGCTGTTACGTCCACGCCCTGGTGTCTTTCTCGCGTCGTCACAGTTAGGCAGTTCCCCTTCATTGTGTACTGTCTCTTTGGTCTCCTATGACCTAGTCCCATTTCTATAACTTTACATTTGCTCGTGTTGAACTCCAGTAACCACTTCTCTGACCATCTCTGCAACCTGTTCAGGTCCTCGTGGAGGATCCTGCAATCCTCATCTGTCACAACTCTTCTCATCAACTTTGTGTCATCCACGAACATCGACATGTAGGACTCTACTCCTGTAAACATGTCGTTAACATATACTATCTTGAGGTTATCTTGAGATGACTTCGGGGCTTTTTAGTGTCCCCGCGGCCCGGTCCTCAACCAGGCCTCCACCCCCAGGAAGCAGCCCGTGACAGCTGACTAACACCCAGGTACCTATTTTACTGCTAGGTAACAGGGACATAGGGTGAAAGAAACTCTGCCCATTGTTGCTCGCCGGCGCCTGGGATCGAACCCAGGACCACAGGATCACAAGTCCTGTGTGACGGCGTGCTGTCCGCTCGACCGACCGGCTCCCTAGACTATACTAGAAATAGAATTGGTCCCAGCACCGATCCTTGTGGTACTCCACTCGTTATATTCGCCAGTCCGACTTCTCGCCCTTTACCGTAACTCTTTGGCTCATTCCTGTTAGGTAGTTCCTTATCCATGCTAGGACCTTTCCTCCCACCCCCGCCTGCCTCTCGAATTTAAACAGCAGTCTCATGTGCGGTACTGTATCAAAGCCTATTTTGCAGTCCAGAAATATGCAGTCTGCCCAACCTTCTATGTCCCGTCTTATCCTCGTTATTTTATCACAGAATTCCAAAATGTTTGTTAGGCACAATTTCCTTTTCCAGAACCCATGTTGATGTTTGTTCACAAACCTAACGTTCTCCAGGTGTGCAACCAGTCGTAGCCTAATTATTCTTTCCAGTATTTTACAGGAGATGCTTGTCAGTGATACAGGTCTACAGTTAAGTGCCTCTTCCCTATCTCCTTTCTTGAAAATTGGTACGACATTTACCTTCTTCCAGTAACTGGACAATTCTCCCGACATAAGTGACTCATTAAAAATCATTGCCAGAGGCATGCTGAGAGCCTGTGCTGCCTCTTTTAGTATCCTCGGTGATACTTTGTCTCGTTCAACTGCTTTAGTTGCAGCCAGTGTTGTCAACTGTTTCATTAGCTCCCCTGCTGTCACTTCTATATCTGATAGTCTTTCATCTAGGGTAATCCCTTCTAACAATGGGAGCTGCTCAGGCTCGGTAGTGAACACTCCATGGTAACTGGCATTCAGTGCCTCATAGATTTCCTTATCACTTCCAGTATATGCCTCCTCTGTTTTCCTTAGTCGTGTCACTTGGTCGTTCACCGACATTTTTCTTCTTATATGGTTGTGAAGTACATAAGAACATAAGAACAAAGGTAACAGCAGAAGGCCTATTGGCCCATACGAGGCAGCTCCTATCTATAACCACCCAATCCCACTCATATACTTGTCCAACCCGCGCTTGAAACAATCGAGGGACCCCACCTCCACCACGTTACGCGGCAATTGGTTCCACAAATCAACAGCCGTGTTACTGAACCAGTATTTACCCAAGTCTTTCCTAAATCTAAACTTATCCAATTTATACCCATTGTTTCGTGTTCTGTCTTGTGTTGATATTTTTAATACCCTATTAATATCCCCTTTGTTATGTCCATTCACCCACTTGTAAACCTCTATCATGTCACCCCTAACTCTTCGCCTTTCCAGTGAATGCAACTTAAGCTTTGTTAATCTTTCTTCATATGAAAGATTTCTAATTTGGGGAATTAACTTAGTCATCCTACGTTGGACACGTTCAAGTGAATTTATATCCATTCTATAATACGGCGACCAAAACTGAACTGCATAATCTAAATGGGGCCTAACCAGAGCAAGATATAGCTTAAGAACCACACCAGGTGTCTTGTTACTAACGCTTCGATTAATAAATCCCAGTGTCCTATTTGCTTTATTACGAACATTCATGCATTGATCCTTTTGTTTTAAATTCTTACTAATCATAACTCCCAGATCCCTTTCGCAATCCGACTTCGCAATCTCAACACCATCTAGCTCGTATCTTGTAACTCTATCATCATTACCTAGCCTCAGAACTTTACATTTATCAGCATTAAACTGCATTTGCCAATCCTTTGACCAATTTCAAAACCCTATCTAGATCAACTTGAAGTGATAGTGAGTCCTCCTCCGAATTAATTTCCCTACCGATTTTCGTATCATCAGCAAATTTGCAAATGTTGCTACTCAAACCTGAATCTAAATCGTTTATATATATTATAAACAACAGAGTTAGTAGAAGTAAATTAGATTGCTTTTTCGCTTTGATCGCAATATCGTTCTCATAGTTCTTATGTTACTGTAAACGTTCCTACCTCTGTTGCATCTGATCCTATTGTCCTCTGTCCTTTGTCTTCTGAACTTCCTCCACTCCCGCCTGCTGGCCATTTTTGCTTCTTGACACTGTCTATTAAACCATGGGTTATTATATTCCCTTTTATTTTTTCTCTTTACTATTGGTATAAATCTCTTCGGCCTCCTGGCATTTCTGTATGACTAGGTCCATCATATCTTGGACTGTTTTTCCTCTAATTTCTT